ATTATGAAGATGTCATTTCTCTCCCAAGTTGATCTGTAATTGAAATGTAATCCCAATCAAAACTCCAACAGGATTTTTAAAGTAGGCCCCACGCCCAACGTAGGGCTTAAACTCAGGTGCCTGAGATCAAGAGTCACATGCTCCACTGACTGAGACAGCTAGGCGCCCTGAGCAGGAAATTTCTTCAAACTTGATCAACCAGTTGTAAAATTTACAGAAAGGAACAGAGTCCAGAGTAGCCAAGACACTTCTGAAGACAAAGATCAAGGTGGTAAGACTCATAGACAAAGGTATCAAGGTTTTCTATAAAGCGGCATCAATGAAAATTATAGCACCAGACAGATGTACCAACAGAACAGTAGAGTCCAACCTTGATACATGACTGAGTAGTGGGGAAAGAATGGACTATTACATAAATGATGCCAGAACGGTCTACCCACATGCAATTCAGATTGGCTCCTTACCTCATGTCCTACACAAAAAAAAATTTTTTTAAGATTTTATTTATTTGACAGATCACAAGTAGGCAAAGAGGCAGGCAGAGAGAGGGGGGAAGAAGGCTCCCCACTGAGCAGAGAGCCCATAGGACCCTGAGATCACGACCCTGGCCGAAGGCAAGAGGCTTAACCCACTGAGCCACCCAGGTGCCCCTCCTACACACAAACTAACCCAAGTGGATTAAATACCTGTATGTGAAGAACTTTCAGTGGAGGGCGCCCGGTTGATTGGTTCACTCAGTTAGCATCTGCCTTGGCTCTCAGGTCACGATCCCAGCGTCCTGGGATTAAGTCCCCAGAGAGCCTGCTTCTCCCTTTCCTCCCCACATGTGCTCTCTCTCGCTCTCTCTCTCAAATAAATAAATAAAATTAAAAAAAAAAAACTGGGGTGCCTGGGTGGCTCAGTCATTAAGCGTCTGCCTTCTGCTCAGGTCATGATCCCAGGGTCTTGGGATCAAGCCCCGAATCAGGCTCTCTGCTCAGTAGGGAGCCTGCTTCTCCCTCTCTCTCTGCTGCTCTGCCTGCTTGTGCTCTCTCACTTTCTCTGTCAAATAAAAAAATAAAATCTTTTTAAAAAAAGAAAAAGAAAAACTTTCAGTAGAAACTACAGAATACTTTTATGACCTTGGGGGTAGGGGCAGAGTTCTTAAGTAAGACACAAAATGCCCAAATCATAAAGGAAAAGATTGATAATCACCTATATTACAATTTAGAATCTGTGCTTCAACAGGAAACCATCAAAATCCTAGAGGAGAATACAGGTAGCATCCTCTTTGAACTTGGCAGTTTTTTTGTTTGTTTGTTTGTTTGTTTGTTTGTTTTTTAAAGTAGGCTCCGTGCCCAGAGTGGAGCCCAACACAAGGCTTGAACTCCCAACCCTGAGATCGAGACCTGAGCTGAAATCAAGAGTTGGATGTCTGACCAACTGAGCCATCCAGGTGCCCCAAAAACTTCTTATTAGACACGTCCCTGGAGGCAAGGGAAACCAAAGCAAAAATGAACTATTTGGGAGTTCATCGAAATAAAAAGCTTCTGCACAGCAAAGGAAACAATCAAAAAAACTGAAAGGCAGCCTACAGAATAGGAGAAGATATTTGCAGATGGCACATGTGATAAAGGGTTAGTATCCAAAATATATAAAGAACTTATCAAACTCAACACCCCAAACCCAAATAATCCCAGTTACGAACTGGGCAGAACACATGAATAGACATTTTCCCAAAGAAGACCTCCAGATGGCCAACAGATACACGAAAAGATGCTCAACATCACTGATCATCAGGGAAATGCAAATCAAACCACAATGAGATACCACCTCACACCTGTCAGAACAGCTAACATTAACAACACAGGAAACAACAGATGTGACAAGACTGCAGAAAAAGGGGAAACCCCCCCGCACTGTTGGTGGGAAAGCAAACTAGTGCAGCCACTCAAGAACAGTAGGCAGGTTGCTCAAAAAGTTAAAAATAGGGGCACCTGGGTGGCTCAGGTCATGATCCCAGGGTCCTCGGATCGAGCACCCCATTGGGCTCCCTGCTCCAGGGAAAGCCTACTTCTCCCTCTCCCCCTCCCCCTGTTTGTGTTCCTGCTCTCGCTGTCTCTGTCAAAGAAATAAAATCTTTAAAAAAAAAAAAAAAAGTTAAAAATAGAGCTACCCTAAAAGACAGCAATTTCAGTACTAGGTATTTACCCAAAGGACACAAAATCACAAATTCAAAGGGATACATGCATCCTACTGTTTATAGCAGTATTTTTTTTTATTTTTATTTATCTATTTGACAGACAGAGATCACAAGTAGGCAGAGAGGCAGGCAGAGAGAGAGAGGGGGAAACAGGCTCCCCACGGAGCAGAGAGCCTGATGTGGGGCTCGATCCCAGAACCCTGGGATCATGACCTGAGCCTAAGGCAGAGGCTTTAACCCACTGAGCCACCCAGGCGCCCCTGTTTATAGCAGTATTATCAACAATAGCCAAACTACAGAAAGAGCCCAAGTGTCCATCCACTGATGAGGATAAAGAAGATGTGGTGTAGACATAGATATAAATATAGATACTTCCGAATCAGGTGTAGAGATGACTTAACAATAAAACCCTCGATTGAAAGATTTTATTTTTTACGTCATCTGTACACCCAACACAGGACTCGAACTCACAACTTGTCAATCAAGAGTCATACCCTCCACGGACTGAGAGGTCCCCCTCCCCTCCAAAATAAAAATCTTTTTTTTTTTTTTTTAAGATTTTATTTATTTGACAGAGAGGTCACAAGTAGGCAGAGAGGCAGGCAGAGAGAGAGGGGGAAGCAGACTCCTTGCAGAGCAGAGAGCCTGGTTCGGGTTCTATCCCAGGACCCTGGGATCAAGGCCCGCATGGGGCTGTCTGTTCAGCAGAAAGCCTGCTTCCCCCTCTCTATTTGCCTGCCTCTCTGCCTACTTGTGATTTCTGTCTGTCAAATAAATAAATAAATAATCTTTTTTTTAATGTGATTTTTAAATTTTTTAAAGATTTTTATTTATTTATTTGACAGAAAGATGGGGGGGCGGGAGCAGGTTCCCTGCTGAGCAGAGAGCCCGATTCGGGGCTCAATCCCAGGACCCTGAGATCATGACCTGAGCCAAAGGCAGAGGTTTAACCTGCTGAGCCACCCAGGTGCCCCAATAAATAAAAAATCTTAAAAAAAAAAAAAGTATAAAAATTTCTGCCCATCAAAACCAGGAATACAAGTCCCTGGCAGGCCCCACAATGAGATATGTGGCTCCCAGCTGCCTCTGATCAGAGTTAAGTAGCCCTTAGTTACCGTTTATTTTTTATTTATTTTTCCTTGGTTACCGTGTAAAGAAACCTTTAGAGTGGCCTCAGGAAATAACATGAAGTTGCCACTGAGAAAGTGTGTGGGATGCTATTCTGCCTGAGGTTGCTAACATAATGGGCTGCATGTGCAAAAAATAGTCATTGTTTGCCACTTAGGAGCAGTCACAAGATGCATACCTTCCGCTGTTGTACGGGAAAGTGACTGATGCAATCTGGCAACACGGTTTTGCGGTCCCAGGCCCTTACCACACCAAAACCAGACAGGGCAAGGCCAGGAGTGGCAAAACAATTCAGGAAAGAAATATTACAGCTGACCTAATCCCTAACTGAACGACCCCAAGATGCTTTCCTGTGAATTTTCACCCTTTAAAAACCCCAGCTCTGGCGCCTGGGTGGCTCAGGTCATGATTCCAGAGTCCTGGAATCCGGTCCCATATTGGGCTCCCTGCTCAGTGGGGAGCCTGCTTGTGCTCTCTTTCTCTGTCAAATAAATAAAATCTTTTAAAAAATGAAATAAAATAATGTTCAAGGTCTTGAGATAGCCTAGGCCAGGAGGCCCCAGAAGACGGAAAGTTACTAACTATAAGTTAGAGATAACCATAACCAGCCCTTTCTGCTCCAGTAAACAGGCTTTCCGCCACAGGCTCCCTGCACTACTGTTCTTGACCAAAGCAGCCCCAGTTCCCCCAGTTCAAACCCACCTACCAGCAATCAAAACTAGCCTTGGACCCTGACTGCCCGCAGACCCTACAAAAGCCCTGTAACCGCATTCCCGGGGGGCCCAGAACTTGGAGCACGAGCTCAGCTGGGTCGGCAGGGGTAAAATAAATCCGAGTTCTCTGAGTGTCACTTGGTCTCTTGCAGGTCTGATTATTTTCCCGCCAACAGTACCAACTGAGACAGCCAGGCTTCCCTGAGACTAGCAGAAAACTTAAAGCTTGTTTTTCAAAGACCTGCTTCTCTCTGGTCAGCCCCTGCTTCTTTTCAGATAAGGTTCAGCCTATAAACAAGCAAGACAGTCCCATCTGGTGTAAGACCCCATTCAGTTTACACTGGTCCCCGGAAGATCCGCACAACCGTCTCCCTGTCCTATAGGTGACCGTGACCACCTGATGCCTCATTTTGCCTTATTTTCTTTTTTTTTAGGTTTTATTTATTTATTTGACAGAGATCACAAGTAGGCAGAAAGAGAGATGAGAGACCGGGAAGCAGGCTCCCCGCTGAGCAGGGAGCCCAATGCTGGGCTTGATTCCAGGACGCTGGGATCATGACCTGAGCCGAAGGCAGAGGCTTAACCCACTGAGCCACCCAGGCGCCCCTTTGCCTCATTTTAATGTCAAGTCTCCACCCAACATAAACGTGAGAGGTCTGTTGCCTCTACCTTTGTTCAAAGCGCATACTCCGTCCTTCCTCATGAATAGTCAGTTTCCCCCGCCCTCTTCATCAATATGTAATTTCCAACACCTGTGATTAAAGAAGCGTGTTCTCAAATCAGAGGGGGATTCCGATTTTTTTTTTCTTAGATTTTATTTATTTGACAGAGAGATCACAAGCAGGCAGAGAGGCAGGCAGAGAGAGAGAGGAGGAAGCAGGCTCCCCGCCGAGCAGAGAGCCGGATGTGGGGCTCGATTCCAAGACCCTGGGATCATGACCTGAGCCGAAGGCAGAGGCTTAACCCACTGAGCCACCCAGGCACCCCGGGGGAGTCCGATTTTTGAGCCAGCTTCCTGTTTTCTTGCTTGGCAGCTTTACAACAACCCTTTTTTTCTGCAAAAGCCTGGTGCTGTGGAGTGCGACTTTCCGTTGCACGCCAGCAAATAAACTTTTCAGCCCGGTAACAAATTCCGCGACCGTGAAGGGACTCTGAATCCAACTGCGTTACCTTAGCCGGTGGCTCGTATACCCCCAGTCGGGGGACTGGGTTCCGAACTCCCTCCGATCGGCAGAGTCAGCCTTCGCTGCTTTCTGGTTTTAACTTCGGGGAGAGAAACTTGTTTGGGGTTCGGAAGACATCCTTTCGGTGAGCGAGAACGTACGGATAACTGACTGCCGGTAATTTTCTTCGTGTTCGACCTCAGCCGAGAGGCCCTGGGTAAGGAGTTTTCCCTCTTAGAAAGGAAAACGGGGGGTTACACTCACAGAGGGTCTCTTGGCTAATTGGATTTCTTGGAAAACCGTGTGAGCGGCTCTGTGTGACCTGCTGAGAATTAATTTAAATAATTCGGAGATAAAATGGGAAATAAGAATTCAGTCCCAAAGTATACTCCCTTGGGTTGCATCCTTAGGAACTGGGCAGTGTTCGCGAGTGACTTCATCACGAAGAAAAAGATGATATTTTTCTGTAATACTGTCTGGCCACTGTATTCCTTGGGTTCGGGAGAAAAATGGCCTAAGAATGGTTCCTTAAATTACAATACTATCTTGCAATTGGAGTTATTTTGCAAAAGGGAGAAAAAATGGTCTGAGATGAGCTATGTACGATCTTTTATGTTGTTATACCAGAATGAGGAAATTCAGATAAAATACATGATTTGGGTGCCAAAGAGTCCCCAAAAAGAGGAAACTTCCCTTGATTCTCGTAATAAGGAAGAGAATTCATTACCCGCGCAGTTAAATACTACCACTGGGCCACCTCCCCTTGGAACTGCTGGGGACCTTGTCCCCCGACGTTCGGCACCTCGGGCCCCAGCTCCATCCCCTTCTCCAGATTCCGGAGGACCTGTAGTGGTCTCTAGGTCTCATACCTGCCAGGATACCTCGTTGGACCAGAGGGCCACCCAAATTCAGGCAGGAAGATCGCCCCTGAATGAGGTGCTGATCGGTTTCATCTTAGTGCGTTCCCAGTTTTCCACCTCTGACCTGCTGAACTGGAAAACCAAGATGCCTCCTTACCTAGATGACCCTATTGGAATGAAGAATTTTTTTGCCTCTATTTTCGCCATCCATAATCCAACATGGGCAGATATTCAGACCCTCCTAAAATTTTTCCTCACACCAGAGGAACATAGCCTGATCCTAGAACAAGCTCGTGCTGAAGCCGATAAGATGCACGAGGAAGCTCCTTATAATCCGGTGAGAGCCCTTGGAGACCTGGCCATCCCCACCACTGACCCTCGATGGAACCCCCATGATGAGTGGGATAGAAATAGGCTGGAGCATTACCGGAGCTGCATCCTGAGTGGTCTGAAGAATGGAGTCCCCAAACAAAGAAGCCTCAATAAAGTTCTGCAGGTTAGACAGAAGCCTGACGAGGACCCCTTTGAGTACATGGAAAGAATGTTTAAGGCTTATCGGCAGTATGTGGATATAGATCCGGAAGCTCCAGAGAATCTACACATGGTCAATGAAACCTTCATAAGGCAAGCTGCCCCTGACATTTACAGGAAATTGCAAAGCGTGAGAGGGGCTTCAGGAATGCCCACAAATCAGTTGGTTGAGATTGCTTTCCATGTTTTCCAAAACCGAGACAAGGTCCGGCAGAAGGAGAAAGAGCGCAGGATGCGGCAGAAGGCAGCCTTGCTGGCGGATGTCTTGAGGCAGGTGTGGTCAGACCCTCACCAGTGTGCACACCAGGCTGGTGCCGGTCCCAGGGTAAGAAACCCGAGGCCCGCAAATTTGGGATCCAGAGGCCACCCAATCGTAGGACCAAACCAGTGTGCCTACTGCAAACGAGAGGGACACTGGAAGAGGGAGTGCCCCTCTCTGAATAGGTATTAGCCAAACTTCCAGATGCCCCCGCCCTCCGGTCATCCTTCCCCATCTTCCGCCCAAGAACTCTCCAGGAAATCTGGGCCCTGGGGACTCCTGACAGCCCTACAGCCTTCATTGAAATTTCCCCATGGAACCCCGGGTCACCTTTTTTGGTGAAAAAGACACGTAACAGGTCTCTTGGTGTAGACTAGTGCTACCTATGGAGGACAATGCCAGGGGCATTTGCGTGGTCCGGGTGGCTTAGTGGGTTAACTTACCTACCTTGGGCTCCAGTCATGACCTCAGGATCTGGGATCAAGCCCCGAATGTATTTTTTTCCTTACCCTGTAAATTCCTCACTAACTTCGGTCTTTTTTTTTTTTTTTTTTCCTGAAATGCGTAAAAACTCCCTGCCTGGGTCATTTTTTGGTCTCAATTTCCTTATTGGGCTTTGTAACAAAGGTTTGGGTTTTTTCCTCCTTTCCTGTCTCTTGTAAATTGAATTCTTTGTCTAGCTGGAAGACCTTGAGGGTAGAGGAAGAATTTCCCCTCCCAGTAGTTGGCATAGTGGGTAGGATATTTTGCTGGGCCAAAGCTGGTCCCAGACACTGCCACCACTGAGATCCTGGGACATCTGATAATACAGCTGGCAGAAGGTAGGATTTTCTTTTTTTTTTAAACACATGGTGTGAGCCTTCTGGAATCTCTGTCTGCAGAGTCTAATGGAACAAGAGTCTTTTGTACTTTTCTCTAAATTTCAATTAGCAAGAGAAAATACTAGGGGATTAGCTCCTTGGGCTTTGCAACTCATGGGGAAAATTTGGCAGCACCCTCTGGTTGCTGATTATTTTTTCCCAGAGATGGTCTTCATTGGTGTGTGTCTTCTGTGTTCTTTGTTCATAAAAAGGAATGAGCATAGGGCAGGCATATAGGGCAGATCCCAGAAGTCTCATTTTTTCAGTTTCTGGTTCTCACCAGACCAGCATCTGTTTGGACAAACTGCTGTGAGTCCCTCTATAAAAGCCAGATGCAGTTTTTCCTTTTGTCATGTTCTGTGCCCTAAGAGCTTGCCTTTGTGACCAGTGAGAACATTCTCTCTGGTTTCCAACATCCAGACAGTGCAGTTACTGGGGTGTGCCTTGGGTATCCACGTAGAGTACCCCAGATAGGCTGGGGATCTTGGACACCATTAACAAAAAGCACACTCAGACCAGCCATGACACTTCTCAGGAGAGTTTCATAAGAAGTCCCAGCTTATAAGGGGCATTTTGTTGTCTAAAGGGTCAGTGCTGGAAAAGTCCCATTCCAGTTAGTCCCTGCCCAGTGTCACAGATTAGTGGGTCTGTAACTGGAGGCATCTCAGATTTGTGGGAGACCAGAGACATCCTTACCACCTATGCAATGGAGGTCTTTGCTTTCTTAGATTATTTTGGGGGAATAAACTTGGATCATGGGGACTGTGTCATCTGTGTCTTCTCAGAAGCCGCTTAGGTTCCTAGTTAAGCCATTAAAAAGTTTACCGGTTTGAGTCACTATTGAAATTAATAAGGTCCTATTCACCAATAGCCAGAGGCTTTAACCCACTGAGCCACCCAGGCGCCCCTCCAAAGGAATTGTTAAAGTGGACTTTACAGGATCCTGGTCTGGGGGTAAGGGTCGGTCAGACTAGGATTGCACTTTGACTTAGCAAAGCCTTAAAGTGGGGGTAGTTGAGTCTCTAGAGGAATGTCACTCTGCCTGTTCTAAGGGTTTGTCAGTGGGTAAGGATGGCCAGGCATCCCCACAGAGGAATCTTTTTTTTTAATGGGTAAAGAAACTTTATGAGGAAATTTTTTAAATAAATAAAAATTAGGGGCGCCTGGGTGGCTCAGTGGGTTAAAGCCTCTGCCTTCGGCTCAGGTCATGGTCCCAGTGTCCTGAGATCGAGCCCCACATCGGGCTCTCTGCTCAGCAGGGAACCTGCCTCCTCCTCTCTCTCTCTGCCTGCCTCTCTGCCTACTTGTGATCTCTATCTGTCAAATAAATAAATAAAATCTTTTAAAAATAAATAAATAAATAAATAAATAAATAAAAATTAATGGCGCTTCACAGTGGCACTCACAGAGACCTTGACTGGCTGGCTCTTCTGGCCCAGGATTGATTACACTGTGGCCATTAGGCAGGTCCCATGGTCCCTGGAAGAATGACACCCCTCCTTACACAGAGTAAACCATAAAAATTTCTCTTGAGCCCTCCTAGAGATGATCTCCCAAAGGCCAGTATCCAGAGACTAATAGAAGCCAACGGTAAATTGTGTACTCCGAAAGGAGGCTTTTGTTCAATTGCTTTATAGAGTTTTGGAAGGCATAAGTCTTGGATTTCCATATTTGTTAAATATGATTCAAAAACAAAGAACTCCCTGATTAAAGGGGAAAAAAAAAAGTTGGGGCTCCTGCCTGGCTCAGTCAGCTTTGTTTCACAAATCTCTACAAAATCAAAAAAACTAAAAAGTCACAGCCCACCTAGCTGTACTAATCTTAAAACCTCATCTATCTGTTCTCTCAAAATCTTTATAGATGTTACAAAAGATCATTATTTGGACAGAAGTGTCCTGTATTTGAGGAAGAAGAAAAGGTAAATTGTAAATTACAAATACTCTGAAACTCCAAGGAAAAAACAAAACCTTGTATTCTTTGTCCCTTAACGTTACAAATCCTTTATTGAACACTATATCTGAAACTAATGTAGTACGTGTTGACTAACTGAGAACTTAAACGGAGGGAGGGAAAAAGGGAGAAAATTAGAATCCTAGCACATGTCTTTGAAATGTAAATAACACACCAGCACCTGAAACTAAAGGGGAAAAGGGGAGGGGGAGAACTTTTTAAAGTGCAAACTGCTGTAACGGGGCCCTTCTGCTGAAACTCTAGCCCTTCTGATAATAGGCAGCAGATAATGTTCCAAATATCCACCCTAAGGAAAACTTGGGTACATTCCCTACACTTTTTCTAGCACACATTTTCAACCCTCATCTTCTCTAGGAGCTGAGAGTCATTTTTTGAAATGCAAACTGCAGGGGAAAGCTTTTCATCAGGAAAAAAGGAGCGGAGAGGGATATGGGAAATTGGGCCTACGACTGTCCTGTTAAAAGAGCTGTTAGGGTTTTGAGGTCAGACCCATGGTCCCTGGATCTGTTCTTTTTTTTTTTTTTTTAAGATTTTTATTTGTTTGACAGAGATCACAAGTAGGCAGAGAGGCAGGCAGAGAGAGAAAGAGGGGGGAAACAGGCTCCCTGATGAGCAGAGAGCCCGATGCGGGGCTTGATCCCAGGACCCTGGGATCATGGCCTGAGCCGAAGGCTGATGCTTAACCCACTGAGCCAACCAGGCACCCCCTTGGATCTGTTCTGAAAGCATAAGCAGAGGGGCTCCTGGGTCACTCAGTGGTTAAGCAACTGCCTTCAGCTTGCATCATGATCCCAGGGTCCTGGGATCTGGGGAGGGCCCCCCATCAGGCTCCCTGCTTGGTAGGAAGGCTACTTCTCCCTGTCACACTTAACCTGCTTGTGTTCCTGCTCTCACTGTCCCTCTCGCTGTCAAATAAATAAAATCTTCAAAATAAGCAGAGATTTATTCTTTGCATTCTGATTAACTCAGCTCCATGTTCTGTATTGTGCTCTAATTACATTTATGCCCCTCGACCTCATGCACAATCCATCATTAACTTTGCCTCTTCACCCCTACTACTCCCTGTTTACCCACTGCTTATAGATACCTAATGAGGACAGATGGTAACATTTATGCGTTATCTGAATGTACCAGGTCCCAAATAGCACCTTGTAGTGCAGAAGAATGCATCCTTCTATGATTGCTTCAGGACCCCTCCCCACCAAGGTTTCAGAGAACGCCTCTCCTCCGCTCGTGTATAAGCTGTCGCTGGGCTCATCAGGGCAAAGTAGCTTTGGGAATGTTCCCCTGGGTCTTGTTGGGCTGCTCTTCTAACACTAAAAGCTTTGCTTCAAAACCAGTGTCTCAGACATCAGCTTACTGCACATGGGTGCACAGATTCTGAGTACGGTAACAATTTTTGTTTGCATCTGTCTGGGTATGACTCCATCTGATAGGAGAGCTTTCCTCTACCTCTGGATGGTATTGCTAAAATTGGCATGTGTAAAAGTTTCATGTACTTGGTTTGAAGGCAAATGCTTGTGTAAGGATTGGGCATTCTAAAATTCCCAGAGACTAACCCAAATATTCAGATTCATGTGATCTGGGGAGATGCTTGCTACTAAAGCTAAGTTAAGGTTGTTGGTTTAATTTAAATAGAAATGGCTTAATGCTACCAACATTAAAACTGAAACTTTTATTCTGTCTGTATTTACTGAAAGTCAAGTAAGTTGATGTGATCTCTGTTACAAATTGAAATAATCGTAATAGCTGGAGGGGCTCCTGACTGGCTTGGTTGGTGCAGCTTGCAACTAACTCTTGGTCCCAGGGTTGTGAGTTCGAGGCCTACACTGGGTGTAGAGATTACTTAAATAAAATCTTAGAAGAGTTTCAGTCAGGAATGGATGCTGTATTTTGTCAAATACACACTATATGTATAAACACACACACACACAGTATATGTATATATACACAAATACACAGAATATAGTTTGTCCACAATTGCCAAACTATGGAAAGAGACAAGATGCCCTTCAACAGAAGAATGGATAAAGAGGATGTGGTCCATATATACAATGGAGTATTAACTCAGCCATCAGAAAAAATGAATACCCAACTTTTGTGTCAACATGGATGGGACTGGAGGAGATTATGCTGAGTGAAACTCAAGCAGAGAAAGTCATCATACGGTTTCAATTGCTTAGCATAAGGAATAACACAGGACATTAGGAGAAGGAAAGGAAAAGTTAATTGGGGGAAATTGGAGGGGGAGATGAACCATGAGACACTGTGGACTCTGAGAAACAAACTGAGGGTTTTGGAGGGAAGGGGGATGAGAGGGGGATGGGTGAGCCTGGTGGCAGGTATTAAGGAGGGCAATACTGCATGGAGCACTGGGTGTGGTACATAAACAATGAATCTTGGAACACTGGAAAAAAAAATTTAAATTTTTAAAAGTTAAAAAAATCTTAATAGTAATAGTGGTTTGAAAGCACTGACCTTGTCCAATGTCTCTTGAAGTTTTTATGGGTAATTTAAGCATAAATGTCAAGAACAAGTAAATAGGGCGCCTGGGTGGCTCAGTGGGTTAAGCCGCTGCCTTTGGCTCGGGTCATGATCTCAGGGTCCTGGGATCGAGTCCCACATTGGGCTCTCTGCTCAGCAGGGGGCCTGCTTCTCTGCCTACTTGTGATCTCTGTCTGTCAAATAAATAAAATCTTAAAAAAAAAAAAACCAAGTAAATAGATGTAATGGGGTGGAGGGGGAGGGACACATGGCTGGCTCAGTTCAGTAGAGTATGCAGTTCTTGGTCTCAGAGTTGTGAGTTCAAGCACCACGTGGGGTACAGAGCCGTCTTTTAAAAAAAGTTTACAAGTAAATTTTTTTTTTAAGATTTTATTTATTTGAGAGAGTGAGCAAGAGAGACCATGAGAGGGTTGGAGAGGCAGGGGGAGAGAAAGCAGCAGACAGCCCCCTGAGCAGGGAGCCCAGTGCTAGGATCATGATCTGAGCCAAAGGCAGATAGCTTAACTGACTGAGCCACCCAGACACCCCTATAGGTAAACTTTTAAATAGCTTCTTTGGTAACTGGAAACTCCAAAGTTGTACTAAGTTAAATGATGAGTTAAATTCATGTAATACTCATTTAATATCATTTCCAAATAAGATAAAATTATAAACATTAAGCACTAAAACATAGGTTTATCTACTTTTGTCTCAACTGCACAGAGAAATTAAATTTGGGCCTGTTAACCTGTTAACAGTTCACAATTGAAAGTTCAACCTAGTGGGCGCCTGGGTGGCTCAGTGGGTTAAGCCGCTGCCTTCGGCTCAGGTCATGATCTCAGGGTCCTGGGATCGAGTCCCGCGTCGGGCTCTCTGCTCAGCGGGGAGCCTGCTTCCCTCTCTCTCTCTGCCTGCCTCTCTGTCTACTTGTGATCTCTGTCTGTCAAATAAATAAATAAAATCTTTAAAAAAAAAAAAAAGTTCAACCTAGAGATTCCTTTATTAGAAGGTTATACTATGAAAAAAAAAAACTTCTGAATTACGAAATGTATTCATAAATTTGTCAGCCTAAAGGATTCTACGGTAACAGCTCACACTTAACTAGTTAAGTTTCACAAGGCATCAAGGTTTCCACAAGTTAAGAATTCTAATACCATTAAAATTACTGAAAAATAAGGGAAATAACTGTATACAAGGAAAGTAACATACATGGTTTTGGTTTTTAAAAATCTGAGAAATGAAATCATACTTGTTGAGAGAAAATATTTTGTTTCCTAAAATTAGGCTAATAATTTAAAGACTGAAAA